ATTTGCAACAGCCTGTTGCAGACCTTTATCAACAGCTGTCTTCGTTCTATACTGAAGATCAGATGGCCGCCGGAAAGAATCACCAACAAGAAACTATGGGAAGAAACAAAACAAGCACCAATCGCCCAACAAATATTCAGGAGAAAGTGGAGATGGATCGGACACTGGCTAAGGAGGCCATTGGGTGACATCGCGCGTCAGGCCAGTGTTCGAGTGGAACCCGAAAGGGAAGCGGCGAGTGGGACGTCCGAAGGTGACATGGGGGAGATCGTGTGAAGAAGAGTTGAAACAGTATGGACTAACATGGATGCAGGTGAAGAGTATAGCAGAAGACAGAAGCAAGTGGAGACGTGTAGTTGAAGCCCTATGGTCTACTAGGAACCCAAGAGAACAATAATAATAAGTATTTTGATCAGTTTAACTTGAAAGTCTTCATAATGCTGCTGTTGCTGGACTAGCTTAACACTGAAGGACAAGGTTAAAACACCTCGTTGAAGAATAATGACTTCATATTTTAATGAATTTTACTAGAATTCAGTTTCGTTGGTCACCATAATATGTTATGATGGTATTTTGAACTCTGAATAACGCTGTTGCCAAATATTTTTGTTGTAAGTTGTTGCCTAATTTGACTCGAATGAATCTCCAGTCCCGACACTGTATAGCCAGGTGTGGTCGCTTGGAAGTATTCCCCTACACTAAGTGGTTAGGTTTGCATATGCCAGTTTGCGCCGTCTCTGGCGTAGACGTGATATCCGACTTTCGACCAAAGGGCGTGTGTACTGCTCAACAGTCCGCTCCGTCCTCCTTTATGGCTGTGAGACCTGGCCATTGGGAGCAGAAGACATGAAAAGATTAGCTGTCTTCGATCATGGGTGCCTGCGTTCTATCTCCCGCGTGAAGTGGTATAATAAGGTGAGCAATATTGAGGTTAGGCATCGGTCGAGTGCTAGTTAAGGAGGGGAAATCAGTCGACGAAACTGTGAAATTATATCGACTGAGATGGTTGGGACATGTGTTACGTATGCCTAGTCATCGCCTTCCTCGACAACGGGCAATGTTAGCTGATATAGGGTTAGGCTGGAAAAGAGCTAGCGGCAGTCAAACGAAAACATGGCCTCATCAGTCAATGAAATCCACAACAGTTAGTGTAAGCCACGTAGGAAGGTTTAGACCAGTTGGGATCCTCGGGACGGTTAAAACCAATGGTTGGAAACAATTGGTGACATGGCTCAAAATCGTTCTCAATGGCTAGCGCAGATGCATCCACTCCTTGTGACTCATGATTTCCAATGAAACTGTTTTGTTCTTCGTTATTACTATTCCTTTGTCTCACATCTCTGTTTACTGTCTATATTATGCAATTCTTCTACTTTCTTCTCTTGCTTTGTGTGCTACAAGGAGGGAGTGTGGCGACTTGAACAGCCGCACATATGTGCAAAGTTCTATGTCGAAAACCGACCGACCGACCTACACTGAGTAGACACACAAAAGTCGGATTTAACTGCGACAACCACGTCAGCAATTTTATTATTCACAATACACAGCATATATATCGTTTACACGTCTACAGGAATTTCAACCATAAATAATCTTTCAGACATTTAGAAAAAAACAAACAAAATAATTGATCAAAGAATATCCTTTTCGGTAATTTTCTCTTTTGGCTCTACAATTATATATATACATATATTTCTATACATAGAATGTTCTAGAATAGTAGTCAATAACAATATTGAAGTTTTTTTAAATATGATCGATTTGTAAAGTAAGATCACAATGGAATTACAGTTCGCGAAAGATGCATAAATAATAATAATAATATAATAATAGCACATAGAATATCAACTGAAATTAGGGAATTTTCTGCAAAATGTTGAGGATCATTCAAACCCAAATGGCCAAGATATGGACAATGTCCGAACTAGCTTCTTAATGTGGATCCTAACGGCCAGTCTCAGCAATATTTAGTAGTCGAACTCTTACGGCGACGTTAAGATATGCAGTATGGTATGTGGTAAATGACTTTGAAAGCTAGCTGGCTGGTGGGATTCAACATAGAACTTGGCACCGAAGTGCAGCACTTCGAGTTGCCACCTTCCAAATACCACACAAAGGTAGACAAGAAAATGAGCGATGAAGAGAATCAATAGAGTTTTGACAAGTATAAGAGTGAGTCAAACAGAATGAGTAATGGTAGAAAGGAATATGAAGGTTAAAGAGACTGAATACATCTGCGCCATTGACAACGAATTTCAGCCATGTCACCATTTTCTCCAGCCATTGATTCTTAGAGTCCCGAGGGCGGGCCGGGCCCCAACCCGGAAGTCTGCATCTCCCTCCCTACCTGACTCAGTTTAACTGTCAAGGATTTCATGGATTGATTGATTAGGCCATGTTTTTGTTTGGCCACCACTTACTCTTTTCCAACCTGAACCTATATCAGCTAGTAATGCCCGTCCGTCGGGGGAGACGATGGTTAGGTATGCGCAGCACGTGGCCTAACCATCTCAATCTATGTAACTTTATAGCCACTTCGATTGATTTCCCCTCTTTTCCCAACCAACACTCTACGCCTAACGTCAACATTACTTACCTTATTATGCCACCTAACGCGAGAAAGAGATCGTAAACATCTGTGGTCTTTGAAAGCTGCCTTGTTGACATCAATCTTGTGTTCTGTGTATCCACAAGATGAGATAGAATAGCGCTGTGTGAATAGATTTTGTTTGTCCTTTACTTAACCAACCACTATGCAGGGCGATGTTTGGAATTTCGACGAGAAACACGCCTAATTGTATAGCCTATGCAACTAACTGACTCACTCCACAGGAGCAGTTAAATTGGTAGATCCACATGGAAAAGGCGAAATTGGGCAGTTTGTCTTTTACTCCCGAACGCAAAAGAGGAGTGGTTTTGAAGACACAACGTAATTCAGCAGCAGGGAAGGCTCTTTTTACCGCATTTCTAAGGTGCTGTGTTAGTATCTCACTGGTGTTGTCCCCAAGGAACTGTATTTGTATGAATAAGGCCCTTTTTGGAACTGTTGTTACCTTGGGCTGCCTTGATTTTTTATTCATATTCTTATCAATAAACTTTTCTGGATAACCATTTTCACTTAGCAACTGTTTAATATTATCAAGTTCTTTATCAAGACATTCGTTCGAGCAAATTGCTCTTGCTCTATGGACCAAGCACTTTATCAGATTGCGTTTGTATTTTAAGGGCACGAAGCGGAAAAAATGGGCATAATGACTAGGTGTATGTAGGTTTTCTTTTGGTGCCATTCGTCTTTTCTGGTCATAAGGACGTCTAGAAATGAAATACCAAAGTCGGCGATATGTTGTCTCTCCTAATACTGTGATCAGTGCTGCCCACTAGGTCGGCTATGAAGACACTTATTCACCGATGAAATCGACTGACAGTGGTGTTGTTATGCATCACATGATCTGACCGTTGAATTTCGTCCCATTGGTTGAATGGTTAACAAAGAGCTCGCCTTATAACTTGAATATCCTTTGTCTCATTGCTGACTGGGATTATAGGTCTGTACCACTGAAGAGTTGCAGACTGGGACGAAACATTCACTCAATACTCCGATTGATATCAATCCGTGATCAAATCTGAAGTAAATTAAAAAAACTTAGAATGTGCAGCCGATATAGTCCTTCTAGGCGAGGACGCTGACAAAATGCAGAGTCTTCTGAATACCTTGAGCAGCAATCTTCGTATGTTTGGCATACGATTCGCCCCTTTAAAATGTAAGATGATGCTGCAGGATTGGACTATACCGACCCCTAGATTAGAAATAGGAAGTGAAGTGGTAGAGCACGTTGACCGCTTCACTTACTTGGGAAGTTGCATCAGCCCCAATGGGTTGATCGCTGACGAAATCTCAGCACGAATACAGAGGGCTAGGTTCGCATATGCCAGTTTGCGCCGTCTCTGGCGTAGACGTGGCTGTCGAACAAAGGGCGTGTGTACTGCTCAGAAGTCAGTTCGCTCCGTCCTCCTTTATGACCATTGAGATTGGAAGACATGAAAAGGCTAGCTAGCTCTCTTTGATCATAGGTGTCTGCGTTTTATCTCCCTTGTGAAGTGGTATAATGAGGTGAGCAATATTGAGGTTAGGCATCGGTCGAGTGCTAGGTAAAGAGGAGGGGAAATCAATCTATGAGGCTGTGAAATTACATCGACTGAGATGGTTAGGACATGTGTTACACATGCCTAGCCACCGCCTTCCTCGACGGGCAATGTTAGCTGATATAGGGTTAGGCTGGAAAAGAGCTAGCGGCAGTCAAACGAAAACATGGCCTCATCAGTCAATGAAATCCACAACAGTTAGTGTAAGCCACGTAGAAAGGTGTAGACTCCCTAGTTGGGGTCCTCGGGACGGTAAAAACCAATGGTTGGAAACTATTGGTGACATGGCTCAAAATCGTTCTCAATGGCTAGCGCAGATGCATCCACTCCTTGTGACTCATGATTTCCAATGAAACTGTTTTGTTCTTCGTTATTACTATTCCTTTGTCTCACATCTCTGTTTACTGTCTATATTATGCAATTCTTCTACTTTCTTCTCTTGCTTTGTGTGCTACAAGGAGGGAGTGTGGCGACTTGAACAGCCGCACATATGTGCAAAGTTCTATGTCGAAAACCGACAGACTGACAGTCAGTCTTCAGAGTTCTAGGAAGTAATGACATAGTGTTTTTTAAGCAGTCCAGGAAAGAATAAGGGTGAACATTAATGAAGTGTGGGTAAGATGCACGAGTTGACAAACTATAAGATGAGGAGGGTTTGAGTTATTCCTGAGTGCCTTAACTTCTTAATATAAAGCGTTAGTGGTCAACATGCTGAAGTTATTGAGTACAGTTTTATCAGAATACTCACAATTTTTTTAGAAATAACGACTTCAGTCACTAGTGATGAAAACTACTACCGTGGGATGATAAAACTTTAATTTTTTTCTATTTCTATTAATGTCTATCTCTGTTTGCAGGCATGTGAAAATGGTCGTGGAGCTGTCCTATTATCAGTTGTCCGTGGTCGAGTATCTGAGGGTATTGATTTTGGTAAGAAAGTTGTCTGCTTTATAATAATATATCCTTTGTTTCTCTCTCTCTCTGACTCAATGTTTGAGACCTAATTGTTGACGTGTTCATCAATTTCACGGGAAGAATGGTTTCAACTCTTGGTTTTTTGACGTTTTTTAAATAGGAATCCGGACAGGATCCAGTTATAGGGTAACAGGTTATGAGAACCGCACTTTGTGTGTGTATGTGGGTGGGTGGGTGACAGCTACTCATACTGTCCAATTGGTTAGGTTGAAGTAGATGTCGGGGGGAGGTGTGAACCCGTGAACCTATTGGTTGAAAGTCGAATGCATAAGCAGCTAACTCTCACCCAATGAACGAGTCTTGAGTTCACGTCGCCTCCCACCTACTTCAGTTCGGTCAACTGGATAGTATCAGTAGCCTTCCGTTCTCCCACCCCCCCTCCCAATACACTAGAAGTGTTGTGGTGAGAGCCGGCTGTTAGCCACAGTTGGTAGACAGCAATTGACGTCAATGTTTATGTCCCTAATATTGGTGGTGAGAAAATGAGAATAAAGGCTTTGCGTAGGCGGATACAGTTAGCATAAATTTGATCTGACACAGCCACAAAGAGATGCAAGGTTAACTTTCTGTAACGAACAACCAATCAAAAGACTGTATTTTCTACTAACAATAATCTACAATAATGTACATTAAAATCTATAAATATGTGTTGATTTTCCTTAATAAACGATCTGTTGCCTGGCCCTTGTCTTCTGTTGTTACAGTGTGACTCATAGTCTTGAAAATAAGCCAGCAGTCAGGATATCATCGAGACTGTTTGCTGTTCTTCAGGTAATAACATTTACCATTAATTCTGTAAAGGAAATTCTGATTCATGACGGAATTCGAATCAAAAAGTCTCCATATTATTAGTCCGATACTCTATTAAAAGCTCCGCTACGAAATTCAACTAACTACGTGCTAACCGAATTATTATTTAATCGCAGTCGTCGTGGGTAATACTCGGATGCCATCTAAATGTATGAATGGTATGTGCCACCAAATTAACTGTCCATCTCTGTCTTCTCTTTTCAACCATACTCATCATACTCTGTCAGAAAGAGAGGAGAAAATTGTGTTAATTAATGATAAGACTGTTTGACACAGTCCAGTGTAAGTGGAACTCACCCTGTTCTCGGCAGTTTCTTTTTTTTAGCTGACTCCATGAGTCACTTTAGGCTTTCATTACCTCCTTGTCTCACACGCTATCCTTCATGTCACCCTCGGCACTTTGTTAAACTCATCTTTTTCCTATTCAAGAAGTTCCACTCGAGGTGGGGATTGGTGCTTGGCGTGTGTGATTTCACTCAAATGGTCTCCTCAGTGTGTGTGTGTGTATGTGTCCAATCCATCCATATCGATTTTTTCCTTTTGCATATGTGTTGGTTAATAGGGGGTGCTTGGTTAGTTCTCTGTCTATCAGAGCTCCTTCTGGTCAGTCATTTAACTTTCAGTAGAGGAACAAAGTGGGCATATGAGTATAAAACTTGGGCACTGTGGTAGAGCATAACTCCATTATGGATAGAAATTTTATTTTGATAAATCACACAGTGCCGTTATGCAGTAATATTAACTGATGACCACGTTTCGAGCACAAATTATTGCCAATCATAATCATATCAAGTCACTCACTCACACAACTTTTTCCTTCATTTATATACATGTGTGGAATTGACTAGATATTTGAATAAAAATCAATATAGGATAATGTACATTCAGAGATAATAATATGAGTGTTATTGATCAAATACAATTAGATGGGAAATAAGACGAGTGTTTTTGTAGTGATAATAAGAAAATTGTTAGAATGTTGTGATGTGCTTGAATTGAAATAGAATTTTGAGATTATTTATTATCCTCTTCTGATTTGACTGATTGGTGGTAATAATATCTTCCATATCTCTGGTATTTGCATTGAGCCATTTCTGTTGCATGTGTTGAGTGTAGACTCGATGAACCAGGATTCAGTAATCAACCTCTCTCTCTACCTGCCTATATAACTTCTTAGAATTTTAACCCCCTCCCACCCTCTTGTGTGTTTGTGTGTTAATGCATGCATACAGTTCTGAGCTTTTTTCTAAATTACTTATCTTCTCGGGGTCAACCATTCTTACCTTAGCTAAATTCTTATGTTCCGACAATTTGATTACCCCCAATCTACTAGTTTAACCTATATAGTTGACCTCACAGTCATTGCAGGGTATTTTGTAAATTATATTAATGTGTTTAATTGGGTCCACCGGGTCTTTTAGCTTACAGAGCTTGTTCCTGAGTGAGTTTTTAGGTTTGAATGTCACCCTAATTCCTGCTTTATTAAGAATCCTACGTAGGGTCTCAGATGTCCCCTCCCCTCTTATATTGTATAACAGTGGATGACTTATATTCTCTCTTATTTATGTTATCATTATTAATTCAAAATTATTTTTATTTTGCTTTTGGCCTTTACTGATCTTCCTAATGAATTTTATAGGATAGTTATTTGATACCAACGCTTCTTCTATCTGTTTTATTTCATCATTTAGGTCATTTTTGTGCTACTTAGTGCTACTGCACGGTTTGTTAGGTACTTAACTAAGCCTGCCTTAACAGTTAACAGATGAGACGAATAAAAGTTTAAATATCTATTAGTAGAATGCGTTAACTTTTAAAAACGCTAGTGTGTAGTTTGCCTTCTTCTATTCGTTTTATTTTACAATCTGTTCATTTTCCGATTCAAATGTGAATTTTATTCCCTCCACTAGTGAGTTTATATGTGTCAAGAAGCTAGAGATATGATCTGTTTTTAACAGTGTGTGAAATTGTCATATCCACATATCTCCATCATATTTTTGGAGCAGGATTAAACGTATTAAGAGCAATATTTTCCCAGCTGTCCATAAATATATCCGCTAGGATAGGGGATATTGGTGATCCCATTGCTACACATTCAGTTTGTCAATATATATTTTGCCTTGGAATTTAAAGATAGTAGATGTGAGGCATAATTGAATTCCTAAAATAATTTATTCAATGGGCAGCTTTGTCCTATGACTAAGTTCGGGATCTGCAGTTAGTTCTTTTTTAACTGCTTCTAAGGCCACATCTGTTGATGAAAGTCAGTAGTAGCCTGTTGGAAATGCTTTTCGTGACCTAATCACTAAAGTTTCTTAACCCCACATACAAGCGATTAAGCGCTTTAGAACTGGATCTTCTTTCTTATACTGAGTTGTAGCACATCAATGATTTCAGGGAGATGACCTTAGTTAGCAGGCAGTCTGTTTGTGCAGTTCATATCTGATAGAGTATCGTACACTACTCATTCCAAGAGATGTGAGTCACTGACTTAAGCGTTTGGCTGTCGATCAACGGGTCCTGGGTCCGAATCTCGCCGTGTTTACTTCAGCCTAGTAAATAGGGGGGTATCGTTTTGAGAGCTGTCGGCTAGCCAAAATTTGTACACAGCAATTTACGTCAATGTTTATGTCGCAAATCTTAGTCATGAGAAAAGAAAAAAACAAAGACTATCTCAACAACCAATAACAACAGACTTAGCGTGGGCGGATATGATTAGCAGATATATCAACGGACTGTCTAAGAAACGGATGGCAACAAAGAGATGACAGAATAACCTTCAGCAGGAAAACAACCAGTCAGAAGACGTTACCTCTCTGCCAACAAGAACGCTAATAATAATGTACATAAAAATCTTTAAATATCTGTTGACTTTCTCAATAAACGATCTGTTGTCTGGCCCTTGTCTTCTGTCGTAACAGTATCACCACCTGTCACACCATAAATGTTGCTCATGGTCTGAAACATCATGGACCTTATCCGGAAACTGGGTTCAAAAAAGTTATTCAAAGGCTACTAGTTGAAATCATCCTGAGACCCCAGACTCACTGATTGATTTCATCTTCAATTCTCAATGTCTATGAATCTCCTTCCCATTATTCTCAGTTTCACTAAACAAGAGTCTCTATTACATATGACACAAGTTTTGCCTGTACAATGAAACAATACGCACACAGTTCGACGGTGAATAGTCAATAATTTAAGCCCCTTACAAACGAACTAGTATGCCTTAGGTTGTCTAGACTTCGATTTTCCTCTCAAAATGCTCTCATGTTGCCACAGGTTCATAACTCCTGTCAGATAAGCCCTATTTATTACCTTCACAGTTCGCTCCGTTCTTCTCTATGGCTGTGAAACATGGCCAATACGAGTTGAAGACCTGAAAAGGTTGACTGTTTTTGATCATAGATGTTTACGATCCCTTTCTCACGTTAGGTGGTATAATAAGGTAAGTAATGTTGACGTTAGGCGTAGGTAGAGTGTTGGGCAAAGAGGGAAAATCAATCGAAGAGGCTATAAAGTTACATAGATTGAGATGGCTAGATCACGTGCTGCGCATGCCTAACCATCGCCTCCCCCACCTCCACGGGCATTACTAGCTGATATAGGTGTTGTGGGTTGGAAAAGAGTAAGTGGTGGCCAAACAAAAACATGGCCTCATCAATCCATGAAATCCTTGACAGTTAAACTGAGTCAGGTAGGGAGGGAGATGCAGACTTCCGGGTTGGGGCCCGCCCTCGGGACTCTAAGAATCAATCAATGACTGGAGACAATAGGTGACATGGCTCAAAATCATTGCCAATGGCTAGCGCAGATGTATTCAGTCTCTGTAATCTTTCATATTCCTTTCTACCATTACTCATTCTGTTTCACTCTTATACTTGTGAAAACTCTATTGATTCTCTTCACTCTCATTTTCTTGTCTACCTTTGTGTGGTATTTGGAACGTGGCAACTGGAAGTGCTACACTTTGGTGCCAAGTTCTATGTTGAATCCAGCCAGTCACATAGAAGAGGTATTCCTCATAAAAGTTATATGGCGAATTCGAACGTCTAGCGCTAGCATCTGGACCTGTGGACATACTAGTATCTCTGCCTTGGAGAGCTGGAAAACCCTGATCATTCCAAACCGAATAGATCGTATAGCGTATGGACCTGTTTCGGTTACCGGAAACCATGTGAATGCGGCTCGTGATGCTGGTCCACACTGCCTTGTGGATCAGACTTTGAACCGAATGTTCGGTGGAGGCAGAGAGAGGGGGGAGGGGTTTGGCGTTTTAAGACAACCATCTGCCTCAGTCTGGGTGTACGCGTAGCATCCATCCAGCCATCGCATAAACTATAAGATTTTCTCTAGCGCATCTGTGAAATTTATTTGTGATATCGATTTGCTATTGTTGTTTATTGTTTGCTGCACTTTTCAATGACACTCTTTACATAAATACAAACGTATATATATGTATTGATTAATATCGATTTTTTCAACAATCAAAAAAACAAACAAACAAAGTCCGAAATTCATATCCTACATCCATAGATTGTTTAATCTTCGTTTTGAGATTAGAGAAATAATCGCAAAGGTCTTAGAAAAAAACAAAATGTTTTTTATTCAATCTACAAATTGATACAAGGCGTCTAACTAATTCTAATCAGTCGATCGAACTAAATAATCAATATTTCCATGTTTTTTGGATTGTATTAATCTTCGGATTATTGTTTATTCATTATGCGCAGTGCATTGGGTTATTTGTTTACTTATTATATGTGTGTGTATGTGCTATGTATTCAAACAAAAATAGTTTTTATTTCTCTGTGGTATTATATATTACTATTATTATTATGATGACCGATAGCTGCTACCTTGACGTGGTGGTCGGGCTTGCATATCGCAATGACCCAACGAGCTACACTGGCTGAAACTTATGTTCCTGTAGGTCCTACCATGCCAGAAAGGTTGTTTGGATAGCGGTTAGACAAAAGGCAGCTACCCAATCCAGTCCAATACTACGACTCAAACAAACTCACAGAATATCATTCCGGATCGGTCGGGGCCAAGATTAACAACGACCGCGCTTCCTGCTGCTGTGTCACAGGGCAGAAGTGATAAAAATATGCTACTGAGACACACCAAATGAAAAGGAACAAACAAAAACAGGCCGCGTGTGACCGGTCTCAAGCAGTTGTCCCCTGGGCTCTGAGGTCAAGCAACACTAACCTTTTCTCTCTCCCCTTCTCAGGCGTGAGGCTAGCAACCCCATCCTGTAAACAAAGCTGCTACAGAAACTTCAGCTCGACGAATCCCCTTGCGCCAAAAGAAAACGTCTATTTGGGGACATGGAATGTCCGCACCATGTACGAGATTGGCAAAGCTGCCCAGATCGTAAACGAAATGAAAAAATACAGAATTCAAGTACTGGGGATATGTGAATCTCACGATCAGATGACCGGCCAGAAAAGATTAGCAACAGAGATCTCTGGCAATGAGCGAACCAACTCAGCAGGAACCGATTGTGAAACAAATAGGCAGGAAGAAATGGAGATGGATTGGCTGGCCATACTCTGAGGAAACAAACCATCAAGTGACATCACTAGACAGGCCATTGCTCGAGTGGAACCCGAAAGGGGAGAGGCGAGTTGGTCATCAGTGCAAGGGTGACTTGGAGGAGGTCATGTGAAGAGGAGATGAAAACGTGTGGGCAGTCTTGGAGCCAGGTGAAGACTCTAGCAGAGAACCGAACGCAATGGTGACGCACGGCTGAAGCCCTATGTTCCTGTAGGAATTAAGGGAAACAATAATAATAATAAATAATAATTATGATGATTCCATTGGATTCTAAGTGGAACTATGTGCTCTCTGCTGTCTTATTTAGCTGCTCACTAGTGCTCAAATAATCTTTCAGTTCTTCATCAATGGTGGCGGGGGTGGGGTGGGTGCATGCCTGCGTCTGTGATGTGTGTTCGATTTATCTATCTCCATTGTCTTTTTATGCATTATGTGTTGAGCGGTGATAGGTATAGTGTTGGTGGTAGGGTTTCTTATTGCTCCGATTAACTATTTCATGGAGAATTCCCATTGGGACATATAGAAAATGAAAACAAGTGGTGATTCAGCGAAGAGACTCTTTTCAACAAAGAATTTATCATCAAGCTGTACAATCGTCTTTACATATATATATATATATATATTTATGTGTTGTTTTTGAGAAATTATAGCCGGTGAGGGAGTTGAATCATAGGTGTGAATGCATAAAATAATAATAATACAAATGAGCTGTCGTCAAGATTTGACAGAATAGTTCTAAAATATTTGGGCGCCGAGTTAGAAGTAGACATTTGTAAAAAATTATCTTTGTAAAATCTCAGCGAGATTGAAATGAGTAATTCCAACGTTTACTGCGTTCGCCAATCTGGTCCGAACTTCTTCAGGGAAATTAATCGAAATTAACATAACACGGGTTTATATATAAAGGGAACATCATTTGTTTTTACAAACTCTGTCCAATCATGAGTCATTCAACAAGTATCAACAAGTATAGTAAACGAAATTTTATGAGCTGTGATCAAAATTTCACCTCGGACTTACAAATATTGGTCTACCTTTGTTAAACACTTTAAACAGAGTGTGTATGTGTGTGTGTGGGTAAACAGTTGTAAAACATCTCTTAACGTCTCCATAAGAAGATATGGACAGTCGAGAATTTTGACCAAGTATTAATAATTAGTGATACATATCCACTTTTTATTTATTAATCAGGATTTCCTATGCATCAGCTAACATCACGCCTTCATGTCTGTTCAAACTGTTAGTATCTAGAATTTTATGATTGGACGTATTTTCAAAATTATGGTGTTTAGGATTAGAGTTTAGTAGAAGCACCCTGTCGGACTTATTGCTTTGCCTTCTTTCTGAAGATTGAGCTGCTTTATTCGACCTACTGGAGTTGTCAGGTGACTCGACAGCTACGGATTTAGCATATGCATTCTGTTGCAGCCAATGGAGAGTGAAAACACGATGATTGTGCCAATTACACAGTTTCTTTGTTAAGTGATATTCCTTTTTTATATAAACCTCTGTTATGTTAATTTCGATTAATTTCCCTGAAGAAGTTCGGACCAGATTGCCGAACGAAACGTTGGAATTACTCATTCCAATCTCTCTGAGACTTTACAAATATAATTTTTTTACAAATAATAATAATAGTATTAAATGCAATTAAAGCGTTTGTGATTATAATCATAGTTAAATGTTAAGTGGCAAAATAATTCAGGACCCAGGCCCAGGATCTTGCGGACCATTGAATCGGTTCCCAGTGGTTGAGTGGTATACGAGCTGGCCTTGTAACCCGAAGGTCCTGGTCCTGGGTTCGAACCCCGTGGTGTGGTTACGCACTGCCAATGAGATTCCCAAACTAGTATGAAACAGTTGTCCATTAATCCTCCAGTGCCGGTTTTCAATGGTTCTATAGCAAATGTAAATATGATTGTACAGCTTCAGAAAACCACCACTCCAGCTGGTGCGTCGATGGCACAGTGGTTAGGACGCTCGCCGACCATGCACATGGTCCAGGGTTCGATCCTCGACCGACGCATTCCTTTACCTCACCAAACCAGTAATAAAAAGCCGGTAAAGCGGAAAGATTGGGCATAAGGCTAGCAACCCCATCCTGTAAAAGTAAAACACTGCTACAGAAACTTCAAGCCTCTAGCTTGAAGCCCTATGTTCCACTGGGAACGTGAAGGAAGAAAAAAATATCTCACAGCGATAAAAAATAGGAATCTTGAACAGCCTGGTGTGTAAGTATCACTAGCCCTCACACACATACACATACACACAATAGGTGTAACTCACAGCTCACTGTGTAGAAATCCAAGCGTTTTTTTATTTCTGAGTAAAATAACATCACGGATTGATATCAGTTAGAGAACCACTGAAAACCAGGGAGTATTGGACAGCTGTTTCATCAGCCTAGTTCGTGAATCATCTGCAGTACTCTGGTTTTCAATGGTTCTCTAACTGATATCAATCCGTGATCAACTCGTTAAAACAAAACTAACCTCTACAAACCAAACTATAGAAAATTAATCTGATGCTCGCTAGTAACTTGCTACAGGATAGAGTTTCCTGGAGTTCTAGTGAGAAGTTGTGACCAGTGAGGTTCATCCAGATATCACGTGTGAGGATGGATGTGTTCCACCTACGACAACGGTTGAGGTCGTGCTAAATCACGAATTGGTAGAAGTTAGAATTCATGAGCAGCTGGCCATTGAATCGGGTGGGTCCCAGTGACTGAATGGTATACGAGCCAGCTAGCTTGCCTTGTAACCGGAAGATCCTGGGTTCGAACCCCGTGGTGTGGGTGGGTGCGTACTGCCGATGATTCCCAAAAACTAGGACAACAGAAACAGCTGTCCAGTAATCCTTGTGGCTGGTTTTCAATGGTTCTCTCTCTAACTGATATCAATCCGTGATCAACTCGTAAAAACACAACTTACCCTTACAAACCAAACTATAAAACAACATCACCTTCTTGAAGGTGATACGTTCTATAATATTAAATTATGCGGCCATACCTTTTAATTATTATTTAGCGTAGATTGGATTAAGTAAGACAATCGGTCGGTATGAACTAATTTATGTATGTCACCTCGACTGTTCTCTATACTAAAGACCAATACTACATATACTAATTTGTGTCAAGGTCACACACACCAAAATGCTAAATTAACCTAAATCCATTTTTATTTGTTTTGTTTTTTCTTGAATTTTCAGACCATCATCTTGGTCGTTGTGTTATTATGTTCGGTGTACCGTATGTTTATACGCAAAGTCGAATATTTAAGGTATGTCACCCCATTTCATTTAATGATGATGATAATGATGATGGATGTTTTGATATCAAACTAGACATCTTAGTATCAAGTCTTTTTCCGAATATCTTAGTGATAAGAGCTTTTTGTCAGTGTATCAGTGTATGAAATTGTTATGTATGTATGTACGTATGTTATAGAAACTGAATATTTCATTGGTTGTGTGTGTGTGTGTGCGTGCGTGAATGTGGATGGTTCAAAGGTAGGATGTTATCATTATTATTATTGTTTCCTTTAATTCCTAGAGGAACGTAGGGCTTCAAAGGTAGGATAGTTTTGAACCAATCACTCATGTGGTCCCGGGTTCGATTCTTGGCCGATGAGGTTCTCAGCCTCTCTTGGTATACTAGACCGTAGTAAATCCTCAGAAAAAGGGAAGGTTGGGCGTGAGACTAGCAACTATCTAGGGTGTTTCTATGGCTCTCATCGTTGTTTGTGGTCGCAGAGTGAAGTGAAGATGACTCACTAGCCTGAAGAATAGTGCTAACTGTAGTAGAGAAGCAAGATGAGGAAGGTGATGTGAGTAAGGGAGAGTGATGCTCAGGTAGGCTTCGTGTGCTTTTGGAAGTGTGTGGGTGGTTGTTACTTCCCGGCTGCCCACACCGTGGAAGTTGGTTGAGTCTTTGGGTACCTGAAATAGAGAAAAGGTTAGTGTTGCGTGACCGCAGAGCCCAGGGGACAACTGCTTGAGGCCGGTCACACGCGGCCTGTTTTTGTTAGTTCTTTTTTGTTTGATGTGTCTCAGTGGCATATTTATCACTTCTGCCCTGTGATACGGCAGCAGGAAGCGCGGTCGTTGTTAATCCGGGCCCCGACCGATCCGGTATGATATTTTGTGGATTTGTTTGAATCATAGCATTGGGTTGGGTAACTGCTTTTAGTCTAACTGCTATCCAAACAACCTTTCTGGCATGGTAGGACCTACAGGAACATAAGTTGCAGCCAGTGTAGCTCGTTGGGTCATTGCGATATGCAAGCCCGACCACCATGTCAAGGTAGCAGCTATCGGTCGGGAGACTAGCAACTCCACCCCAGCCAACCCCCTGTATAAAGCTAACACCATCGGGACTCAAATGAATGAGAAAAAAGTTGTCGGTTAATTAATTATCTTAACTATTTTAGGATTCATCTTTAAAAGAGAACTAATCGTTAGGAAAAGATGAAAATCAAATAGGAAACTAACGGAAAGGAATTGTTGACTGAATTCTTATTTTGCCTTTTTTCTTTGTCATTTCGCTTAATTGTTTTGTCACTATTTCTTTTATTTTTGTTTGTTTGTCTATCAGGCACGTTTAGATTTTCTTCGTGAACAGTATAATATACGACCGAATGAATTTATCACCTTCGATGCAATGCGTCATGCTGCTCAGTGTTTAGGACGTGCTATTCGCGGTAAATCAGATTACGGTATTATGGTGTTAGCTGATAAGGTGAGTTGAATATTGAATTGAGCAGAACAATTTGAATGTTTGACGTGTGAGATTCGCTCCCTCCGTCAAATGTGTAAGTAAGATGATGCTACAAAAGTTGACTAAAAAGAAGGGAGGAAGTGAAGTAAGAGTGGTAGAGGGTGTTAACCACTTCACTTATTTGGGTTTGGAAGTTTCATCAGCCAACAACAGCAGGTTGATCGCTGACGAGATCTCAGCATGGATACAGAAGGCTCGTTTGGCATTTACCTGATAACTTACGCCATATCTACCTTAGTAGATGTGATATCCGGCTGGCTGTCGACCAAATGACGTATGTACTGTTCAGCAGTCAATTCTCTTTGTCTTCCTTTATATCTGTGAGATCTCGTCATTGAAAGTGGAACACACGAAAAGGCTAACTAGCTATCTTTGATCATAGGTTTTCATCAGGAGTTAACATCGGTTAGAGAGTTATTAGAAAACCTGGGTAGCTGTTTCGTCCTAGTTCGGGACTCTTCGGGGGGTATGCACTCACTGGGGTTCTAATCCAGCCAGGACCTACCGGTTACAAGGCGAGCTCGTAGACCATCAAGACACTGAGACCGGACTCAATAGCATATGAACCCCAACTTCTGCGCGTTAGTTAATGTCAGACGGGGCGAGAGCATTTGTCCTCACACTTGTCCTACTGTACACCACTGGTCACAACTTCCCACCAGAACTTATATAACTGCTCACCAGTCACAAGTGAGCATCAGATTGTTATTCATGGAATTCATGGGCCATTGGATCAGGTCCCAGTGGTTGGATGACCCACGGGTTCACCACGTAACCAGGAGGTTTTAGGTTCGAACCCTGATGGAGCCAAGTTAAACTTTAAGCACCACTAACAACCAATGGAGTGCGACCGCACCAATGACCTTGAAACGCTCACTGAGCAAGTTAGTGAAGCCTGGCAAATAATGTTGTCATCATCAATCAAAAATATGCTCATCTAAGTGTTATGCTATGAAATGGGATATCTGACAAGTTTCAGCTTAGGTTTGAGGAAGATTAAGTTATGCTTTAAGCCAAGGACAAGTTAGGGTTAAGTTAACCTAATCAAGGCGATATTAGGGTTGGTTTGAGTTAGATTATAGTTAGTTTAGAGATATTTCCACGTTACGGTTAGGTTCAGGAAAAATCAGGGTTATTGTCAGGGCTAGAAGACCTAAATAATTACATGCATAGAATGTGGTTAGATTACTCTATTGATATAAGAATAGAACTTGTGCACAATGGTGGTAGAGTATAATTCCATTGTGGGTAAAATTTATTTTGATAAATTCTCATGGTGTTATACAGTAATATTTACTGATGGAGTTTCGAGCATAATTTATCGCTCAGGAAATATTACTGTATTACACTATGAGAATTTATCAAAATAAATTTTACCCACAATGGAGTTAACATTGTTGATACTCCAACCTAAAACTGAGAGCTATTTTTATCACATGTGAGAGAAAGGTATCCTCTTTTATACATTTTTAGACAGTTTTTATGCATTTTTTCCATAAATATATGCATTCCATACACAAAAGTGCCTCCTTCACGTGATTGGTAGTTGGTGGTGCTTAAAGTTTAACTTTGCCCCTGATGGGTGCGTACTGCTGAAGAGTCCCAAACTAGGGCAAAACAACTGTGCAATACAATTCTGGTTAGCCAAATAGGAAAATCATAGACATGCATGAATTATTTTTTACCTAATTATAATTCATAATCCACCTTTCTACTCTCTCTCTCTCTCTCTTTGTTTCCATTATTATTCTAGCGTTATGCACGCGCTGATAAACGCTTTAAACTACCCGGTTGGATACAATCTCAGCTACAAGATGCATTTGTTAATTTATCTATTGAAGAAGCAGTACAAGCCTCACGTCGATTTTTACGTCTAATGGGTCAACCATTCAATAAAGAAGATCAATTAGGCTTAGCACTATTGACACGTGAACATATCGCCAAGATTGTTGCACAAAATCAAACAGCTTCAGCTATATCAAGTGGAAAGTTTAGTATACAACAATCGAACACTTCGACTAATGGTGGTCATGATCAAAGCAGTTTATCAACAGCACAACAATCACGAATTGTAACCACAGCAACAACATTTAGATAATTTAACTTTTTTTTATAAAAAGATTCTTATTGTATATTGCATTATGTACAGGCAGAAACATATAAACAAACATATATATTGCTGTTTTATTATTATTTTCTTTTCTTTGAGTGTGAATGACTCATTGTATTTTAGAGTCCAACATTTGGACTACCCGCTTGTTAGAAATTATCTGATTGGTTGGTGCACTCATGGATCGATATGTTTATCTGTAATCTGATTGGATAATTTCTACTGGCCAGTAAAACGCCGAGTAGCGAGTGAGTGAGTGATTAATGACGTGAAGGAGAGAAAGAATTTGACTCATTGCTTTTGATGGCGTACAGAGTATAATCACATATACACCGTACGTGTTCTTATGACTATTTCTCAAGTATTTATAATTATTAACAACAAATGGAAAGTATATATTAAGGCTGATAGTATAAATGATTAATATGACCTATGATACAACCTAGTAGATGAACTTAATGCACGAATATCAACTAAGCTAACCGCAACGTCAACCACAACAACAACCATAACTACTACTACAAGGATAAAACCGACATGTGATTAGAAGAGAGAATGTCTGTTTGTCTGTCTGTTTTCGACATAGAACTTTGCACATATGTGCGGCAGTTCAAGTCGCCACACTCCCTCCTTGTAACACACAAAGAAAGTAGGAGAAATGCATATTAGAGACAGTAAACAGAGGTGTGAGACAAAGGTATAGTAGTAACGAAGACCAAAACAGTTTAATTGGAAATCATGAGTCACAAGGAGTGGATGCATCTTCGCCAGCCATTGAGAACGATTTTGAGCCATGTCACCAATTGTTTCCAACCATTGGTTTTCACCGTCCCGAGGACCCCAACCTGTCAGGAAGTCTACATCTTCCTACGTAGCTTAGACTAACTGTTGTAGATTTCATTGACTGGTGCCATGTTTTGGTTTGACCAGCAGGTGCTAGCTCTTTTCCAACCTGGCCCTATATCAGCTAACATTGTCAATTGTCGAGGAAGGCAATGACTAGGCATACGTAGCACATGTCCTAACCATCTCAGTCGATGTAATTTCACAGTCTCGTCGACTGATTTCCCCTCCTTACCTAGCACTCGACCGATGCCTAACCTCAATATTGCCCATCCTGTTAAACCACTTCACGCGGGTGATAGAACGCAGGCACCCATGATCAAAGACAGCTAATCTTTTCATGTCTTCCGCTTTCAGTGGCCAAGTCTCACAGCCATGAAGGAGGACGAAGTGAACTGACTTCTGAGCAGTACACACGCCCTTTGGTTGATAGTCGGATATCACGTCTACGCCAGAGACAGCGTAAACTGGTATATGCGAAACTAGCCCTCTGTATTCGTGCTGAGATTTCGTCAGAGATCAACCCGTTGGGGCTGATGGTACTTCTCAAATAATTGAAGCGGTCAACGTGCTCTACGACTTCACTCCCTACTTCTAAACTAGGAGTCAGTGTAGTCCAGTCCTGTGGCAGGAGCGCGTGAATCGCATGCCAAACATTCGTAGATTGCAGCTCAAGGTGTTCAGAAGACTCTGCATTTTGTCAGCGTCCTCACCTAGAAGGACTATATGGTTTGCATATTCTAAGTCAACGAGATTATTCCCTGGTAGCAAGTCAATCCCTGAGTCTCTGAAGTGAGTTAGTGCATCTATGATGGAATTGAATAGAAATGGGGATAATGGGCATCCTTGACGGACACCACTAGTCGTCACCACTTCAGATGACAACTCGCCGTAAGCCCTCACCTGGCTGCATGAGTAATAGTAGAGTGCCTTAATCAGTGCAATTTATTTTCTCGGCACTCCCTTTACAGCTAAGTAACACCAGAGAACCTTTCGGTCGACAGAATCGAATGCTGCCCTTAGGTCAAGAAATATAATGCTTGTTGGACGCTGGTAGGAATGCCTATGTTCTAGAATCTGTCGGAGGGTGAAGATATGATCAATACACCCTCTTCCTGGCCTAAAACCTGTCTGGTTTTCTCGTGTTTGTGCCTCCCGAGCACCACTTAGTCTACGCAGTATTATTGAGCCTAGGATTTTAGATACTATATTAGTCAAGCTAATCCCTCTGTGATTATCACAAGAAGACTTGTCTCCCTTCTTGTATATCGGGATGATCAGTGACTTACACCAACCCAATGGGACTTCCTGTGATTCCCAGACGCGGTATCAGAGAAAGTGCAATCGGGTTGGGACAATGGACAAGCTTTTACTGTTTAAAACAATAGTCTAAAGAAACTTTACACTGATGCTATATAAAATGACTCTCACCAACACTGAATTCAATAATAATAAGTTGAAAGTGTTAACAACCAATAGGAGTTCAGCTTTCATATTGTGTGGGAATTTCAATCAAATGTGCAATACTACAAAGCAGAGGGATGTTAAAGCGTACCCTTAAAAATTCACCACTTTCACTGAACAACTCCTGTTAGTCTGAGTTACTTTAAACTATAGCAGCTCAGGTGAATGGATGTAATAATGACCCTACATCAACCAATCAGATGAGCCGTAATTCATTACGCGGAAATATGGTTGCAGTACCTGAACCACGTTGCTAATTGACATGAATTATCAGCGAAAACTCCAATAAGCAGTTGGAAAATACTATGGGAACGTTTGCGAGAAAGTTACCCTGTGAAACTAACTTTGATTTATTTAAACAAGTTTTTTTCTTTAAAATTGCGCGTATTTACTATGAGCTCATCTCATTGGTTGATGAAGGTCATTATGACGGCTTGGGTCGTTATCGTTCCGAGTAACTCTAGTCTTCTGCAGTAAATGTTGTTTGATAGTCATTTTTTAATCGTATTCCTTTGCGTTCCCATTGGAACATGGATCTCCAAACTTGAGCTTTAAAGTTTCAATAGCACTGGTTCTATTTTTTTGCGGAGTGTGGTTGATGGCCTCATGGCCAACCTTCTCTCATTCATTACCGATCTTACTACTGGTTAGGCGAGGTAAAGGAATACCACAGGTGGGGATCGAATCCCTGGATAGTCAAATTTGAACATAGGAAATTGTATCTTCACTGTTCCATGCCAGTATATATATGTGTGCCTGGATTATTGTATGAGAAATTCTTATTTTTTTTAAATTCTATTTCTTTACTTTCCTAGTGGAACATAGGGCTTCAAGCTGTTACTTTGAAGTTTCGGTAGCAGTGCTGTTTGTTTTTACAAGATGCAATTGCTAGCCTCATGCCCCCCCCCCAGCTTTACCAGTCACATTACTGGCTTAACGAGGTAAAGGAGTGCGTCAGTGGCCGGGGATCGAACCTTGAACCACCTGCGTGGTTGGCGAGCATTCGACGCACATCGTATCAGAAATGCTTTGCCTTTAAAATAATATCTTAGTGGCGCTGTTAATTCACACTGGTGTATTTGCGTAGGTAGTATACTTCAACATGAAACTCTACAAAGCATGGCTCCTTTAAGACTAAACAAAATGAGGGAATAATCTCGTTGACTTAGAATATGCAGATGACTCCTAGGTGAATACCCTGACAAAAAACAGCAGAGTCTTCTGAACACCTCGAGGATCAGAAATCTTCGGATGTTTTGGCATGCGATTCGCTTCCTCTGTCAAATGTAAGATGATGAGGCTAAAGGACTGGAATACATTGACTCTCCTAGCTTAGAAATAGAGAGTGAAGTGGTTGGTAGAGCGTATTGACCACTTCACTTATTTGGGAAGTTGCATCAGCCAACGCCAGCGGGTTGATCGCTGATGAAATCTCAACGCGGATACAGAAGGCTAGTTTAGCATATGCCAATTTACGCTATTTCTGGCTTAGTAGACGCCATATCCAGCTGACTATCGACCAAAGGACGTGTATACTGTTCAGCAGTCAATTCACCCCGTCCTCCTTTATGACTGTGAGTGAGACCTGGTCATTGAGAGTGGAAGACATGAAAAGGCTAGCTATCTTTGATCACAGGTGCCTGCGTTCTATCTCCCGTGTCAAATGGTTTAACAGGTTGAGCAATACTGATGGAAGGCATCGGTCGAGTGCTAGGTAAAGAGGAGAGGAAATCAATCGACGAGGTGGTTGTGAAGTTATACCGATTGAGATGGTTAGGGGACGTGTGTTACGTATGCCTTCCTCGACCGACGGGCAATGTTAGCTGACATAGGGTCAGGTTGGAAAAGAGCTAGCACGTGATGGTCAAACGAAAACATGGCTTCATCAGTCAATGAAGTTCACAACAGTTAGTTTAAGCCAGCCAGCCACGTAGGAAGGTGTAGACTTCCTGACTGGTTGGGGTCCTCGGAATGGTAAACACCAATGCAAGCTGGAGACCCTTGATGATATGGCTCAAAATCGTTCTCAATGGTAACGCAGATGCATCCACTCCTTGTGAATTATAATACCCAATAAAACTATATTGTTCTTCCATATTACTATTGTTTCTGCTTCATATATCTGTTTACTGACTCTATTTTGTGTTTCTTTTTTGCTTTCTCCTTTGCTTTGTGTGCTGAGTGAAGCGTGGCGACTAGAACTGCTGCACATCGGTGCAAAGCATTTCTAAGTTGCAACCAGTTAGTCAGTCAGTCAGTGATAAAACAAACTAAATGTGTCTTATCCCGTCAGTCTATCTTATTTGCCTACTTTTAACGTCTAGAGTTAAAGTTATTAGGTTAGATTAGGCTTAGGAGTTAGAGACAAGGAAGGCTAAGTTTAGGGTTAATGGTGTTTATGTATTTATTATATATTAGTGTTTATTACAGTTAGGGTTAAGAGTTGGGAAGTTAAATCTGAGAAGTATGTTTAAGTGTTAGAGTCATTTGATGGCTGCTGCATAGTTTCTCTTCATATGATTCGATTTTCTGTGAAGGTTCACCTGCAACGTGCCACTTAACCAGCTTGTTAATATTCTGGTTGACAGGCACATGGACTCATGTGAAAAATGGGCCAAATCCATTTTATCTAACTCACACCATCCTCTTCACTCACAACTCTCCCCTTGCATCTCATCAGG